CTTGAGGAACACTAGCACAATTAAGGTCATCAATGACTGCAGCAGCACCAGTACCATAGCTAGAAGAGGGAGAGAATAAAAATTATTTATATACATGTATCTGAAAATTAAACTTTTAATTGTGTGTGTGCATATGTACATAAATTATACTGTAGCTGCCTCTACAGAAAAGGGAGAAGAGGAAGGATGCCCACATATGCTGCCCCAGTTGTCGTTGTAGTAGACCTGCAGTCGTCCACTTGTATGACTGGGCGAGTACTCACCGAAGCGAATGAGTCTTAGCGAGCCACGCTCCTGACCTAAAAATACTGTAAATGATACTCAGCAGTGTATGCTATACTGACCATACACTAGGGAGACGAAGAGAAGGAGAAAAGAGCACAAGTTTAAGGACATCATTTTTGCAATTTGCATTGCTATTGCAGTCAGGCGTGGCTTGTAGAAACAGCTGTACCTTTAGATTCCGGTTCATGAACGGAATTTGCAAAAGTGCGGAATAAAAACAAGAATAACCTGATCCTTGAAATTTAAAATATTTTTGTTTTGACTATTAATTTATTAAATTTTCTGATCTGATTACACCGAAAGCCTGCACTGCTACCTTATCATGTAATAAAACATCAGCAACCAACAGAAACATTCTTTATGCTGGTCACGTCATTATACATATATAGGCAACAACCGTAAACTGACAGAGTTAATTAGTTCAGTTATGCATGTACAAATGAGAGGTTAGAATTAAGTAACTATTAGTCTACAAAACTATGAAGCATTTGTTTATAAATCTTGATGAGGTTCATCAGCACCATTGTCTGCCTCTCCTTCAGGTGTAGCGTTGTGCTTCAGAATACCTTTAGACTCAAGGAGTGCATTAATCTCATCCTCAGACATGTTAATGACACTGACACGCTGCAGAGAGAGAGAGAGAGAGAGGAAGAAAGAGAGTTAGAGAGAGAATATGAGGGAGAGGAAAGAGAAGGAAAGGATAAAGAACAAGTACAATACATAACTACATGTAGAAGTACACTGAGAAAAGAGAACAAAGAGGATCATAGAATACTGAAATTGCTTTACTACACTCCAAAAACAATACAATAATAATACTACACAGTACAAACCACATTCATAGGCTACATTCAGTACTTGGCATCATGAAAGAATATAAACCAATGCAAGACAAAGACAAGAAAGAACTAAAGAGACAGCAAGAACTCACCTCCTCCACACTTTGACCATCTTCACCCAAAAACAGCAACTCAGGATCCTTACCCCCTATGTACTTTATCTCAACATCAGGACTGAGTGCCAAATGCATTAAGAAACAATAACAATAATCCACTTCACAAGCTATACTGGAATACATATTAGTACCTATAGTGTATTAATGCAATTACTCTGTTTTACTGGCCCACACAAAATTTTGGATTTATTTAATTGTAATCATGAATGTTTATTGTTTATCTATAAGCAAATA